GTATGGTTGAACTACCAACATTTTGTGTAGCAATTCCTGTTGGGGCCATTAATAAATAGTTACGGTGAGTCCTTTGAAAATGTTCTAATAATATATGAATGATAAATGATTTGCCAACTTCAGCTGATCCAGTAACAAAGAAATAAGGGTAATGTGATCTATCTTGAGGACCTAAATAATTAGTTATTGTCTGTACACATTGATATTGGCTCTGAGGTAAGTCAATTAATATATTTTCAGGTACAATTCAAGGTAAGATTTTAATTGAGTTCAGTTGTAATTCAATAATATTGAGTATATTTGATGATATAATTGGTTCTAGTGACAGAATTATCGTTTTAATTAAAGTATCGAATTGGTCAGTGGCAAGTGTAGTTTGATTTAAGATAAATTCATAATTTTGTTTACGTATAGATTGAGCTATATCAGGAAATTGGGCTAAAAAGTGGTCATAATAGGTCGAATAGCCATTATACATCTCAGTTTCAGATCTGCATGGAAATTTCAATAATAACTGTTGATAATAAAACAATTCGCCATGCTCAATTCGTAAGAATCTTATGCACGAAAATATGTGGCTCGCACATTCTATAACAAAATTTCCTAGTTGATCATGGTATATTATTCTGCAAGATACGTTCGGACCTGTTCTTTTTATTTCATATAAATCATGATAAGTTTTATAAGACATATTATCGAATATAGTGTTTAAAGGACGAGCAAAATATTTTTCTATTTTATTATTCCAATACGGATTATTATCTTGCGGGTCTATCATATATATTGGAAGAATAGCTTTAGAACGGGTATCTGGAGGATCTGTTGTTAAATATTGAACTTGCACAGATGAATTTATTATACATTCACTAAGTAATAAGAACATCAGTTCCATGAAGCCTATGTGACGTGCATGAACATATTCCTAATAACTTGATTGATCATGTATGTTAAATAAATGGGTTGGTTCTGGTTTACTAATATACTTAGTAATATATTTGGCAAGTCCTTTATTTGTGATGTATTGCGCATTCATGTGGGTATTCCAAATCATTAGTGTAGGGGCATAATATGGCACTACCCATTGATCTTCTGAAGTTAAGCAACGATATGTATATCTGTAATTAACAGGATCATAGTATGTGTATTCAGAAAATGGGTGTAGAAAACCTTTTTTACACACAGAGCCAGGTAAACTCAGGCCACCGCATTTTGAGTTGCACGTATGTATTTGTAAAGCACAGACTTTTTGATAGAGTTCAGGTTCAATGTTAGGGTCCGGAACAGTAGATCGTATAGTATTTTTAGTGATCATCGTTTGTATGTTATCAGTCGTTCAATAAACACCATGTATATGAGCAGTCCCACGGTTCTGAAACTCTATTCTATCAAAAAAGTTAGTATAAGTACCCTATTCACTAACTTCTGAGTTTTTCCATACAAATTTTTTGAGATTTTGTAATCTATGGATAAAATGTAGAGTTGTATGTAAAGGTCGGTTAGTAGGTAAAGTATCTCCATTATCAGTGTTAGCCAAAATGTTAAGCAAATGATGCCATTGGCTTTCAGCTATTGATAATGTAATAAATACAGTCGGAAGGCCAAGTTCACAGATCATCATATTTAAATGCATTGTTTTTTGTTGAAAATAAGTGCTTCCTGTACAAATAAACGAAGAGATTGTAAATGTTTTTGATTCGTTATAACGTAATCGATTACTGTAGGTACTTTCTTCAATAATTTGAACAGCAGTAGGTAAACGATTAGTAGAGTCAATATCAGATTGTAGAATCAATCTTTGTGAATTTTGAAAATTCCTAAGTTTTTCTAACTGTAGATAAGCCCACGCGAGCCAGTAATGATGTAGATGAAATCGAGAATCCTTTGAAAGTAAGTGATGTTTTATATATTTTCCAAAGGTGTCATATCTATGTTGAACTGTTTCTAATTGGCTTATTATTTCGTGATAATGTCCATATCCATCAGAGTACAAATCAGGAAAGAGTAATGGTTCTAGATCAGGATCGTTCAGAGCAATTAGGATTCTGTTAGATTCGTCATTTACTAAAAAGCCAGCCATTAGGTGATTGTAATAAGTATCTTCATTATGAATTTCTGCAGGAAAATCTTGGTGAGGTATTACTATATCTCCATGTTGAAATGGTGAGGCATCTTCATCATCAGATAAGTGGGTAGCTAACGGAAAAGGGTTATTGATATTCAAATCTGATGGGATCATTCTCGAATAAGCACGTAAATACAGATTATTTTCCTTAAGCCAATTTATAGTATTTGTCAAAGAATCATCAAACCAAGGGAAACGTACGGGTGAATTGAATAAGTCTGGAGAATTTAAATAAGCACCCAATATTCCTGAATATAAGTTGAATGAGTGTATGTTCCGAGAATAGCCCATAGTACCTACTAATGATCTATACTCTGAAAAAGGATTTGCTTCAGGCGTGCGGCCCAAAGAACTGTGTAAATATATAGGAGACAAGTGTTTACATTTGTGCAATGGTACTGAATTAATTTCTGACGGAACAGGAAAAAGGTACAGAGGGAAGTTACGATTAGTATTGTTTTTATATGATGGGTATATAGCTATTCTATTCACGGGCGGATTTGAATTAGTGATCAATAATTCAGTTGGGTACGCGTTAGTAAAGGGATATAAAAAATATGGATCACGTAAAATCCATAAAGATTTTTCAGGGCACATAAGCCTGGAGCAAATTGAGCAGTGGACATACGGAAATTGATGTAAGATAGTATTGTTGAATTCATTTAATATTTCTTGTATTCTCGAAGAAATCAACTAAGGAGAAATTATTTGAGAAGTGGTTGTATGTGTTAAAGAGTTTGACAAAGGATTATTACGTAGTTCAGTTGATTGTGAGGTAATAGTATTAGACGAGGTCAAATCAATAATCTGTTCGCCATAATCAGTAAGTGCTATATCGAGGATTTGATTTACAAAAAATGACATATTGAATAATTATAAAAAGGTTATTTAATAAATTTAATCGTATGTTAATTATCGATATTATTCAGGTAATAGCTTAGAACTTGCAGAAGAGAGCTGAGGTTCCATATTTATATAAATTATAATCGTTAAAAAAAAATTACAATAATGCGGGTTTATAATCGAGCTTTAAAAGATTATTTACTTTTTTTTTTTATTAAAGGAAACAATTATCAATGAAGCTTAATAGAGCATCGAATGAAGCCAATAGTTATAAAGTATAGTTGTTATCGAGCTTTATTTAGAGTTCTATCAATTTCATTGACTTTATTAATTTCACGATAGGGTGCACAAGTATAATAAAATCAACAGAAATTATTGATTCGGCTGAATAATATAACAATATATTGCATAACATATCGGCCGATTTGGTTCATCCCAAAATTAGCCAATTATGATTGAGAATTATAATATTTAAAATTTATTACAAATCGAATTTTCATAAAAATGGCCTTTTTAACTAACTTTGTATCTATAATTAAATACATAAAAAAATGTAATACATACGTATTTAATTATTGAAAATTTTTTTCCGAATTTACTCTTAACAGTTACCAACCCATCGTCTTAACTCTAAAATACCTGAGTATTTTAACAAATAGTAAAAGTGATCTTTTTTACAGCTTAGAATAGCTGTTTTATTTATTTTCATTTGTCTTTTATCTTGTTCAGCTCTTTTATTGTTTGTGATTAATGTTATTAGTCGAAATTATTTCGACATTTAGACATTTAGGCATATTGAATTTAGGCAATTTTGACTTTGTTATTTTTTTAAAAATTACTATTAAAAAGTGAATTTAGACATTTAGACATTTAGACAATTTAATTTAGACAAATTTTGACATTAGAAAAACAATTTTGACTAACAAATTATTTATTTATGTATTTTTCACAATGTTAGCAAAATTTTGTGTAACCGTAGATTCCTAAAAATCAAATTGGCCGATATGAAATTTTTAGTTGTCCAAAAATTACAAAAGCGGTGTAACTTTTGATTAGATGTGAAAGTTTAATATAAGTTATATAGATTCGATAAAGATAAAATACAAGGGCTATTTTAAACAAATAAAAAATTTACGATACTTACAGTTTAATAGATAAAATCAAATCATCTAGTGTTATAGTCAGTGTTGGTTAATATATTAGGATTATTTCCTTAATTAATACATTAAACAGGAAATAAACAAATACATTTTCATATTCTAAGGTTTTAGATTGAAATTCGTCAATTTATTTTATTTACTAATTACTAAGTTGTTGTGTTAGTAGTTATGCTTTATAGCATGCTATCTTTACTTCACAATAAGTAGATAAACATTTACAAACATTAATTTACTTATTTTAAAATATATCTAATTTCCTATTAAGTTAAACCAAAACGATAAGAACAGTTTTTATAGGGTGAATATTTACGAATAAATAAGTGTTGCAATAAAGAAAAAGCGAAACATTTAAAGATTTTACATTTTCATTTAACGATACTTCAGTAATTAAAATAATTCAAACTATATTTTCAAGCAAAATTTATTAAAATTATTCAGGAAGAGTAATGTTAGACATAGAAGGTAATTCATCTAATTTAGTAGAATTAGCCAACACTTCTTTTGCTAAATCGGCCAATCTTTTTCGACCTCAAGTTCTAGTATACAGCTTAGTCACCATAGAAAAAAGTTTAAGTGTAGATGAAGTTTTGGTCACAGATGAAGGTTTGACTTTTAACGAAGCAACAACAAAGGATGGTTTGACCGTTGGTGAAGTGATTGCAGATAACGAAGATTTTTTATTTTTAGTATTATTTTCAAACTTGGCTACTAAAGTCTTGGCAATACTAATAGACTTGTTAGCCTCACGTGGTGTTTTATTTTCCCAGGGAACATTCATAGGGATATTTGTATCTAATAACGATTTTTAAAAATCTGGATATGATATATTTTTAACATGAACATAATTTTTGTTATCGTATAAGATGAATTCTCCGCTAACAAAAAGAACCAAATTCTTTTTTATCATAGGAGTCATGCGAGTTAAATGAGATGCAGTTGCAGAGTAATAACAGTCAATTTCAATAACAGTGCGTCCTTGATCTATATAATTAGTTAACGTAACAGTTATAAGAATATCATTATTTTTTATCGATAGTGGTTCGTGAACTACGGCAGTCATGTTTATTAAAATTGGAAATTTAGGAATTTCACTCAGATCCAAGTTGAAGCATACTAGGTCATTTATAAGAATCTATTTTTAACAATAAAATACAAAAAACAAAAATTTATTTAGTATATATAAAAATATCATATAAATATAAATTATATAACATAGATAAGATAATGGCATAGGTATTAAGTTATCTAAACCAATTCAATTTAAAAAAGGTTAACAAAAGATTTTGAAATAATTAATTATTAGTTGTATTTGTCTAAAGAAAATTTATCGAATCTAAGTTATACCAATTGTTTTTTAAATGTGTTGAATGCTAGTAAAATGCTATCTTAATGCTAGCAAAGTGCCAACAATTATCAACGGATTTAAACAAACAATTAGTCTAAGCTTAATTCAATGAACATTATAGATTTTTATTTTAACAGCTATTATCCACGAATTGTAATAAGTTATTCAAAATAACGATATTTCGATGGGGTGTTGCACATCATACGATTAACTATTATAGTGCAGCTTTATATGTAATTTACACTATTTTTGTCGAGCATTTTATTATAAAAAATTCGTTATTCGTTATAGTTTATTATAAAAATTACGTATCTTTAAAACGTTCTAACTTTTGTTCTAGAAAAGCAAATTAATTCTGTAACTTGCAAGTGATATTATGTTGAGACACTTTTAAATTTATTTTAACAATATAGTTAAAAGATCAAATGTTTTTTTTTAGTCGTAAATTTTAATATTAAAATATTCACGATTTAATAAGTTTATACTATAGAGGCCCGAAATATTTACATATAATTCTTAAATGTCGCAACATAGTTTTATAGCCACACTATCCAAATATTATTTACAAGTTG